AATCCTAACAGCTTCCTAACTACTTTCTCTCCCATATCAACCATATGCAGTTTATTAGCACGTTCTGTTGAGTTTTTTGCTCTCTAAATATCTCTTGAACCCATCAGTCTCCTTGATTTCCATTCTCATTGGCATAGCTTAAACTATCATCACTTTATATCAGCCCTCTCTATATCTTTGTCTGCTCTTATGCACTGTGCCTATTTCCCTCCCAAACTCTTTCTAATAGTTGGTTGCCTACAAGGCTCTATATAGTGTGGTTCCTGCCCTCCACTTTTCTGGCTCTCCATCTCTATGTTTTCGGAAAGACATTTTCCCAGTTCCTGGAAGGGGCCAATTTCTTTCTCATTTCACATGCTATTCCCAGTCTGTGATAACCCTTTCCCGTCCTCCCATTACTTCCAGATACCAATTCAAAGACCACTTCCTAAGGGATATGTTTGTTACCTGTTCTCCCCAAGTCTAAGCCAGGTTTTGTTTTTCCTGTATGTGTTCCTAGATCCTGTTCTCAGTTTGTAATGATGTATCAGTATCTGTGATTGTTTTAACAACTCTGCCTTAACCATAAAACAGTATGTTTCTTAAGGGCAAGGATTCTATCTGATTTTATTTACAATAATATTCTTAGCCACCATTGTGGTGTCTGACACATACTAATTGCCCAATTAATACTTATGAATAAAGGAATGAATGAATGCTCCCTTAGTCATTCTGTCACATTTCTGAGGATAATTGATCTGCCTATTTACCATTCCACTGCCAACATCTGGGCTCCACATCAAGGCACCTCTACTTCCTGGTCCTTTATGTCAGATTCTGGACAAGTTTTCAAGTGTTTTTATTTCTTTTCTTTTGTTGCTAAAAACATTAAAAAAGCAGGCAAAAATCAAAAGCTTCTCTTTAAACCTGATGCTATATTTTATATTTCATTTAGTTGATTCTAAGACACATATATTACGCACATAGAAGCGTATATACACATATATATAACACATATATATATAGCACATAGACACATATATATAACACACACATATATGTATGTAATAGACCTGTGTGTGTGTGTTTTATTCTTTTCCCATCTCTGAAATTGGGATGGGTCTAACAATCAGTGTTATAGTGTAATTGGCAGTATTTTTTTCTCTTAGTGCTACATAAAATAATGGTGTCTCTTAACAATTAGTGGCATCTTAGATTTGATAAATTCTGGACTTTTGTTTTGTCAAGCCCTATAGGTAGAGACGGAAGTCACACAGTTGTAGGTGCTAATGTTTAGTCATTATTCACAAAGGAAGTAGGGCGTAGTTAACTTTCAGAGGAAATCTGTTTTCAGGACACCCTGGGCATATCACTGGAACTGGAACNGAAAGACATTTTCCCAGTTCCTGGAAGGGGCCAATTTCT